TGTTTAACATCACACTGGCCACATTTACTTCCCAGAACTGAACCTTGTACCCATTTAAAGCTGGGTCGACCTGGGAGCCACTTAGTTTTTTTTTAAAGTCCAGCTCCGCTGGGGCCTGAACCCAGGACATTCTGATTCATAGTTGAGCATCTAGCCGGCACTGGCTACCATCTTTTGATGTTATTTAACAGAGAGCTTCCTTCACTGTTCAGACCTTGATTAGTTGTTATCACAGTCAAAGTTACTGCACATTCATTCACTTGCATGCACAGTCCTCCGATGCAGCAGCCACTCTAATGTACTTTTACTGACTGTTCCGAGAGGTGCTGGTTTTAATGTCTCCTGTCTCAGCCACAAAAGTGACATAGACATACTTCCCCATGCACCATTGCCAGCATTTCTCTTTTTCTCATCAATACTGGCCTAAGCATTGCCATTAAACCTGGTTTATCCAAGAATCTTTGTAAGGGTCAGTGAAAGGGGGAACTGATGAGAATGTCCCAAAATCTTTATTCAACAAGCCACCTGAAGAGACTGGCTACAGTGACTCAACGTCACACCTTGGATGCTAAAATGACATAACTCAGATACACTGTATTACCGTACAAGATTTATACTGGGGCAGCCTATGGATACACCAAGCAGCCCCTAGCCCCCCCCCCCCCACCCCAAGTGGTTAGAATGCTGGGATCTTATGCGGGAAAACTCCGGTTAGGTCCCCAGTAAGGTGGCAGGCGTATCCTTCTGTCGGGACAAAAGTAAACAGCTTAAGCTTAAGTTCGTGTTGAAGGCACCCCTTTGTTATTGTAGTGTTAGTTAGTCATAAAGGTCCCAGCCAACATGTGCCGATTTGTGTTGTTTTGTACACGATGTTCTGCTTCCCCGTTTTGTTAGACTTTTTAGTCACAGTTCAATAATTTCTTTAAAGGCACTAGCCTCAAGGTTACCCCCCCCCCCCCCCCCAGTGATGCATTTTTTTATGACCACGCTGAGTGTTAAATTCTGGGGGGGGGGGGGGGGGGGGGGGAGAGAGAGAGATATGTGACATAAGACTGAACAGACAGACAGATCATGTCAGACAAGAACAAACATTTGCTCACTTGCAACAAATTATTACGAATAGAGATATTTGTTTTATTATCATCTTAGTTCACACACACACACAGCTGAAGGTCAGCGGAAACCACATTACCTTGCCAAAAAAATAGATTTCAATGCTGTAGTTAAAGTGATTGGAAATGTTCACAAACCTTCAAACCGGACTTTGAAGTGAATAAGCTGGTACAGACCTGAACACCTCCGGAAACAAATCCACTGACCCACACCGACCCCGCAAAGAGCTTATAAAAACAAGATTAAAACACCCACTGATCTGTACTGGCCAAACACACAAACCATGTTTTCACACACGCCCAAGTGATAAAACACACACATAGAAAACTATGTTTGTCACACATGCCCAAGTGATAAAACTCAAACATAGAAAACTATGTTCCCACACAAGTGATAAAACACACACAGAAAACCATGCTTTCACACACGCCCATGAGATCAAACTTATGCACACACAGAAAACCATGCTTTCACACACGCCAGTGAGATAAAACTTAAGCACACACAGAAAACCATGCTTTCACACACGCCAGTGAGATAAAACTTACGCACACACAAAAAACCATGCTTTCACACATGCCAGTGAGTTCAAACTTACGCACACACACACGATAAATGTACACCAAACCATTTCTGACATGGCTAGACATTCCTACTCTCTTTGCAAACTAGGGCACACCTGGGTGGTGCCTTGAATAATCATTACAGGCGCCCCAGAAATAACTTTTTTGGATGTTAAATTCTGAGAAAACCAACGACCTTCCCTGGTGGAATACCACACAGGACGTGTTTCTGTGTCGCAGGGGTGCCAAATTTCTACCAGCAGCTCATAAGACCTGCCTCTATCACTCCAACACTGCACACAAACCTTGTAACAAGCTCAGCTCACGACATCACTCACCAGCATACACTCACCTATTTCTTACAGGCCCCAACAGTGTACACCAAGGCTATTCAGCTAAGTTTACTCAAGGGCCAAGATGTTGGACAATGGCGATGGTCACAGACCAGAGGCCCAAACATAAAAAGACCACTGATACAATACAATTGCTACGTCATCCACAGGCCACTTGGTAGGCTTCTGTGGACCAAATGTGGGCTGCACGTCGCCAGTTTCAACAGCCCTGATGTACACAACCCTCAAACCCGCACACACATATAATACAAAGCCCCAGTTCATCAATCCACACACACATAATACAAAGCCCCAGTTCATCAATCCACATCAGACGGCTTCAGGAAAGCTTTCTTGTTGCCAGGCTCTGCATCATCTGTTGATTCTTCAAGTCTGCTGCGCTTCTTAGCAAACTTCTTGGCGATAACACCCATCAGTGATGAATACCTTGAGAAACCAAAATGAATCTGTTGTTACTACACAGAAAAAACAAAGCACTTTGAGGCTCTCAGTACCACACGGCTTCAGTATGCTGCTGTTTGTGTATATTTCACACACATGTACTTCTTTATTCATGGTGTTCACCACAATTTTCATTTTCTTTGTTTAATTCTAAGCCTAGACTGACTTACTTAGTCGATGCTCTTCTACCCTGAGGTGTAGACGTGTGTGGCTATGCTGCATTCCAGTCCTCTGTCAGTCAGTGACTGTCAGATGTTGTCCTCCCATCGAACCATGGGTTGCCTTGGAAAGTCATTCTCTCCTTTTCTAGGTCAGGACTGGCATACAGGAAGAGTGGTAAGCAGCCATTTTCTCTTTTGCTAAGAAACTGTTGGTTTATGACCTGGAAAAGTCTTCCTGCTTCTCGAGTAGCCAGCTCTGTCTTAATGCTTCTAAGCCTAGCCGCTCATTGTAAAATATTACTGTGTCCACTAAATGCTGCGGACCTTCTCCCTTGTACTGTACTGTAGGTTTTGCACATTGTATAAGGTTGTTAGTATATCTTTCTACACCAATTCTATTCTTATCATTTTTTATTTTCAGGGTCCCATTCTAGAGGAAAAAAATTGAACCAATCTCCCCAAACAATAAAGTTGTAAAAATTGACTAATTAAGGGTGTTTCTTTAGAAGTCGGAGCGTATCTGCCTGAGATGCAAGGGACCAGGAGTCTGCATATAAATAAGCCAGATCTATAAAATAGATGTACACATGAAATTCAAGTTCTGGTTTGAGACCAAAGTCCAAAAGTGGACGGACAACCAGAACACTTCCGACAAAGTTTACAGCCAGTAAATGCCACGGTGACAAGAATATCGCTGAAAAAATATACGAATGTAAACAATTAAAAAAGGGAGATTTTTATTTAAAATAAATATTTCCCCCTGGAAATTCCTAGGCATCGTGATTCAATTTTTTTTAACATTCACAGGGGTGAAAGTGTGAATGACTATCTACATCCCACGGCCACAAAAGAATAGCCTTGTTGAGAAACTGACCTGCTTGCCATCTCTTTATCACTGACACTGTTCTGTTTTTCTGCTTCCTCGATTCTCTTCTGTTCCTGCTCGTTTATTTGTGTCTTCATCAACTTCTGCAGATGTCAAAATAGAAGCAAAAAATGTTAACACAAGAAATTATATTTTAAAAAAATGTTGTCCTTGGTAAGTGACAGACATCTGTAAGCAAGCTAAAGTAAACAATTCCTTCTTCTTCTTTGCATTCACCAGCTGCTAACTTTGGTGGAAAGTTCTGGTTGTTCATCCACTTCTGGACTGCAGTCCTGTTCCAGAATTTAAGCGTTGCGTGTGCATCCGTTTGACAGATCTGACACATTTGTGTGCAGACTGCTGGTTCCTTGCCTCTCAGGCAGATGCACTCCGACTTCGAAGGAAGCTCCCAGTTAGTCGACTCTTACGACATGCTTTTGGGTGGGCAGTGGGCCTATTCTTGTTTTCCCTATAACAGGGCTCCGGAACCCACACGGGGGTGTAAACAATTTGATATTGTGAATCTTTCCAGCGGCAACTTACGAATGTGAGACGCTGATTGTTATTTAATCTCTGAAGAGGACAAAGCATTTGAACTGAAATGCTACCAAAAAGTTCAGATACTGGATCAAGACAAAGTAACACGACGACATCCTACATGATCTGAACTTCACAGAGAATTGGTTTATGGTGGCCGGGAGAGAACGGTGGCGGAGGGTACACTTTCAGATTTGAGGCAGAGCAGAGACAGCCCTCCGCAAACTTGGACACAAGACACTGATTATGAAAGAATACAAGGCTAGAGAAAGAGACTTTCAGGCGTGCTGTTGTCCTGACAGAGACATTCTGTAAAGGACCAAATGATTAATGATAATTTTATGAAAGATTAAGGGGGGGGGGGGGGAGGGCATGGCAGCACATTGGCTAGACATTTTCCTCCAACCCCCCCCCCCCCTTTCCCCAGTTGTTTTCTTCCAATACTGACTTTGGCTCCCAGGTCGAGCTAGACTGAAATGTGTAGCATGTTATTTCTGGGGAAGTAAAGGCGCCAGCAGCATTTGCTACCTAAAACATTATTGGTTACCCTTTAGAGGCTGTGTGAACTTGAGAGCCAACAGCCCTTTATACCCCTCCCCCATGTACTTCTTGGTTTCATGTTCATCTTGGTTGTTTAGATGCTCTACTGTCTTGCCCGTGTAGTTTTTCCATTCACTTTGTGCTGTATTTAGTACTTAGTTGATAAAGACTTTGGATGAAATGTTCGGTTGTGTTTGCATGTGTCTCTTTCATTTCCCCCGTTAAGCCTTTCCTTCCCATTTCACATTGCAGTTAGCACTATTCAACTGTATGGGATGGAGGAACAAATAGTGCCTCTGGGACTTAAAATGTGTCTAATGTTTTGAGGACAAGTTCACTACTTGCTCAGCCACCACAACGAAAGGAGGCGGGGGGAGAGAATACTACATAGTCAAAACTGAGTCGAGCAGACATAAACCTCACTGACCTCAATATCTGGGTTAAATCCACGGAAAGACTGTCGTCCCAACATTAGCTGTTCGCACGTTATGTAGCTTTGGTCTTTTAAAAACTTGGATCTGCGAAAAGAATACAACATTCCCTAAGCAAAAAAAGACAGAACAATGAAGTTTCAGTAATATATTAGGCTTTCAAAAATCACACAGCTATTTCTGTGCCAATTTCTTCAGCTTCAGGGCAGACAAGAGGGGTTTCCCAAAGGCTGCTTTTATTTCATATTCATCAGTCATGTGCCTTGAAGTTTCTCCATCCCACAGGATTACCATAAACATGGATCAGGTCAGTGTTCCTGTCATACCCATTTTTTTGGCTAAGCCATCTAAGCACCTGCCTTCCTCTTGCTTTATTTCCACCAATCTTGCCAGTTACCACCTTGTGCTTGAGTCCATTCCTTTTACGACTTTCATCTGTTTTAAGAAGGACCGCCTGTCCGATTTGCTTATCAATTACTTCATGATATTCCTGCATTAGTCTCAAAAACCACATCTCACCCCTCATGTATACACATGGTTTCTCATAGAAACTTTATATGCAACAAGAACAACAAATTCCACTGCCAACTGGATAGGCGTAAAGCACTTTCATCACAGCCCAAATCACTGGATCTCTTGGAAAGGATCCCATGCTTTGTTCTATAAAATCTCTTATGTCAGTTTGGGAGGGGCTGGGGACACCAGGGCCACAGCCCCCTACAATGCTTCTTCCTATGACAGTCTGGGAGGGGTTGGGGAGACCAGGGCAACAGACCTCTATAATGCTTCTTCCTATGGACAGTCTGGGAGGGGCTGGGGAGACCAGGGCCACAGACCTCTATAACGTTTCTCCTATGACAGACTAGGAGAGGCTGGGGAGACCAGGGCCACAGACTTCTATAACCTTTCTCCTATGACAGACTGGGAGGGGTTGGGGAGACCAGGGCCACAGTTGCCTAAAAGGTTTCTTCCTATGACAGTCTCGGAGGGGCTGGGGAGAAAAGGGCCCACAGTCCTATAAGTCTCTTGTGGGGAGAAGGGCAATTCCCTAGGAGTCCATATAACGCCTCTTGTAGAAGGCAATTCTAGGAGTGGTGAAATCAGATGTAGTGGGCTGAAAAGGACAGGTAAGGGAGGAAAAACCAATATCCATTTTAAGAAAGAACGAATATAGATACAAATGTAAAATTTATACTTCAAGCTTATACTGCATTCATATCAAGTAACTCCAGTTGTACATGGCTATGAAACTTAAAGCACAACTAAATAAGATGAAGCCTTGTTACAAATTTTTAAAAACAGTCTTACAGCGACTCTTTGGATCCATCAAATATATAAACAGCAGGAAATGGGAGAATGAGAAGTACTAATGAAATGCATAATCTGTTTAAATGACCACTGATCACATGCTACCACTTGCGGGCTAATAGACTGAAAGAATGTCAGAAGACAGAGGTAAAAACTGTTGTTGTGTTTAAGACAGTACCATTTAATATGAACACTCACTCACTCTTTTGATTTATATTCTGGGCAGTCCAAGACCCAGTGCTCATCATCGATTGTCTTCTGTCTGTCTTCTTCATTCTGTTCTTTTTCTATTCTCAGCACACTCCGCTGCATGAACTGAAATACAACAGCATTTGTCACTGATGTATTCACAACTAACACACACACATACAAGGTGAAAAAATCATGAAATATTTGTCAGACAGAGAAGGCAGTAGCTGCAAGTGACACAAAGCCTCAAAACATTGTTATGTCTTCTAAGGTGGCTGAAATATTTCAAATGGTTTTATTTTATTGTTTTATTTATTTCAGCAATTCTATTTTTTCCCCGTATGGGCCCCGGTGCCCTATTATAAGAAAAACAAGAATAGACCAACTGCCTACCCAAAAGCATGTCACAGAGTCGACTAACTGGGAGATCTCTTTGAAGTCAGAGTGCATCTCTCTTAGAGGCAAGGAACCAGCAGTCTGCATACAAATGAGCCAGGTCTGTAAAATGGATGCACATGCAATATGTAGATTCAGGAACAGGACTGCAGTCCAGAAGTGGATGAACAACCAGAATTTTCTGCCGGAATTAATAGCTGGTAAACGCAAAGAAAAAGAATTATTCCTTCATTCATACTCTTTCTAGAACCGTCACATTCTCACTGCTTTTTCCTCCATGAAATACGGCCTATTTTTCACTATATCCACATCCCTAGAGACTATTCTATTTTTCTAGTTGCTGGCTCATTGTCAGGCCCTAAAACATACGGTAGGCAATCAGCACCCCAAAATTAAGGCTTACTGGAAACTGAAATAAGGCTACAGCACAAGATAAATTGTGCCCAAACCACATATGTCCCCCATTTATGAATGTACTGAGAGTAACCTAAATGGGTAATCGAATGTGTGTTAATATTTTAGTATTTTATATTAATTTGTTTATGAATCCTGTGACACCAGTGGTCTATAAAATGCAATGCCAAGGACCAGTATTTGGGGAATTTCAGGTTGGCCCAAAAAATATTCTTGTAAAATTTTTGTGTGCATAAATTGCAAACTAAAAAAATCATAAACATTCCATTTATGATGCAAAATATTTAACTGCATACAAAATAACATGAGTGATCAAGAAACATAACTGCATCCGAAAACAGAGTGGGTTACATATATGTGAGCTTTAAACGAATATTTAGCATGACCCATTCTTGACTGTGTGACCTGGCCACCAAGTGCCAATGTAACTAATCTGTAACTCCAGTATCCAATTTTCTAAAATAAAAACCATTTTTCAGAAGGCCAGAAAGGACAGGCTGCCTTTCAAGGTTTGGTGCGTCACTGTGAGTCCTAACAAGGATACCCTAAAGGCTATTTTTAGCAACTGTGCTAATTTTGGTCATTCTAAAATGTTGCTCAGATAACAGAAAAAACAATGGAAGCACTGCTGTTAGCTGGGTTTCTCGAAAATAAGCCATTACCGAATAGTGAATCAAATAGGTTTACTCACGGACCAAATTGTTGAAAAATGGGGATCATCACGGTATAGAGGCTTCAGTAGCAGCATAAAAGGATCATGAATAGACTACAACTGGCAGGTGATCAGCAGGCCGCGAGGGAACAGCCCTACTCTATGGCAAGCAATGAATTGGTCATCCTGGGACCCCAGCAAAATCAGGTTTCTCAGAGCGAGAATGCTAATATGCAAAATGTGTTCACCAAATACAATTCTTGGTGATGGGATATATTTGTGGTGGTCAGGATTCTGCTGTCTCAGTAGTTAACAAAAAAGTTAGTGGCATATTCTTTGACATGACATTGCAGAGCCAGCCCAGCATTTTTTTTTACTGTTTTAGTTTTTCTACGCAATTTTTACATTCAGTATTTTGCCATTGTTTCAAAACGGTCAGCTCTCGGTACCACTGTCAAAATCAACACAGGACAAATTGCCCGCAGTTAGGGTTGAACCCAGCAATCCGGCAATGTGAAATACATTCACAATGCCAAAGCCACAAAAGCCAAACTTATTTACAAGTAGGAGGTAATGATTTGTATTTTACACCAGCGATATAAGTCAACAGTTTTTGAAAGATTTTTTAGGTTTGAAAACAATATATGCCACAATTTACAGGATACAAATAACTTCACAGACTTGCTGGCTAGAACTTACTTTCATCTGCAGCACATTCTTTGAAAGATGTGTTGTGGTCCTTGACGCTGCCATACTTGAACAAATATTTAGGATCACTCAATTCAGTGTAGGTTCACTACGCAAAAAAGAAAAACTTTGTCAAGTTGTACACGTAACGCAACCTGTAACAGAGGAGTGAGATCTACAATTTGAAGGTAAAAAAATCATCATCATGGCAACAAACATATATATATATGACATACTACATACAGTTATGGTTCGCTATCTTACAAAACCCAGATATCTGAGATATTTTTAAAAAAAAATTGTTTTAAGTGGACCTAAAGACTAATTTTCACAAATGTGAGGAGACAGTCGTTATTTTATGAGAAGAGAGAAACTGTAGCATGTTATGTTATGTTCACTGGGAAGAGAATTAGAACTAGAGAAAAACAACATTCTTGACAGCTTTTATTTACACAGAATTAACTTTCCCTCTGACCCACTCTTCTCCCCGCCCCAAATATTTGAATATTCGGCTCTCCTCCGAACTTCTACCCCCACATTATGGCGGCCTGAAATATCCGTCCGGGGCTCAGTTCTATTAAAAATATGCCGGCGCCGTATAACGAAACAAATGCCCTAACAGGGTCTCAGCAAAATATTGTTACTTGCGGACCTGTTTCTTATTACCTGACAATTCTAAGAATCGCAACACTGCAGATGATAGTAGCGACCGTTGACACTTTCCATTGTGGGACTTTCTGCTGAGGAACAAATATGTAAAATGGGGACGTATCGGACTTTTTGCAGACAAACAAATCGCGGCAAATCTAGGATCGGCTCGGAAAAACGAAACGAATGCTCTAACAGGGTCTCAGTGATATGTTACTTGCGAACCTGTTACTGTGACTATGCCCTACCGCCACTACGCGCGGTGCGGATAGAGGCTAAACTAGATGGCTGGGACTCATGAGCAGCAGCTACCGCATCTCCTGCAATTTCCTCCAATTAATTTGCTCGTGAGTCCCAGGCACCTAGTTTAGCCCCCCATCCACGCCGCACGTAGCGGCGCATACGCTCGGCGGTGAGTTTAATCACGTTTTGCGCATGCCAACAAGCCTCACATCTACCGCTGCTAAATCCTCAATCAGAAGAACAGTATTACTAATCTGCGTGGGAGCGCGTGGTCGACCCGCCATATCACTTTCATCGTCTGTAATGTCTCGTTATTGTCAACGGTCAAGTTTTATCGTCTGCTAGTATCGTCTGCAGAAATGCTCGACACTGTTACCGGTTGCTTTTATCGTCTACAATGTTGCGTCTCTTGAAATTGTCAAGTAATCCTAGTTTTGCCGCGATTTTTCATTAGACTGAGCCCGGAACGGATATGTCAGGCCGCCATACTGCGGGGGTAGATCGGAGGAGAGCAGAATAGAAAATAATAATCAGCATGCCTTGAAACTTGACTTACTGTGTCTTTTGCTTGTGCAGAATTAATTGACAAACTTTAAACAATGTTTCTTTAGCTGATTATGTTAGTCAGTAAATTATACACTATTCGTTTCTTTTCAAATTAAAATCAAGTTGTAGCAATCAGCAAAAGAAAACCTGAAAAGCACAGACAGACACTCACACTCACTGAGACTGAGTGAGTCATAGCATTAGTTTGTATGTATTTTGACAAACGCCAAATACGTTAGAAAAATTTTACGAATACATAGTATACGTCACCTGTGTAATCAAGTATACCTTAGTTAAAATACTGACACCCAGAGAGTATGAAATATGAGGACCACAACTTTAATCAAAAATTTTCCCCAGCGTGTTTGAATCCAACAATAACAAGGGCAGCCATTGTGGAGCGGAAGCGGTGACGAGGTTTCACTTTCCTGCCGGTGCTGACACAACTAGTGCCCGACTTTATATTGCCTGGTCCCATAGCCTCAGTGTTGATGTGTCGTTCTTGATTGTGATAATATGAAACTGTTTATTTCTAATTCTCTTTTGGATTTATATTATTTTGATGATAATTTTAAAGCTTGACTTCAGGCCACTTATTAGGTTTAAACACTGCTAGTTTCTTCGTTGTGTTCCGCTGCATGTAAACTCCGGCGGAAAATTATGGTTGTTCATCAATTTCTGGACGTTAGTTTTTGTTCCAGAACTTGAATTTTACGTAAACGTTTATTTTACAAATCCGGCTTTATTGTGTGCAGATTGTTGGTTTCTCGCGTATCAGGCAGATGCGCTTAGACTTTAAAGGAAACGCTCCAAATTAGTCGGCTTATATGACATGCTTGATAAGGTGGTAGTCGTCTATTCGGCTCCTCCCGCACTCACACACACACGCGCGCGCACACATACACACACAAAGAAGCCCCATAGCCCATACGCAGATGAACTCCGCAATGACCGAGATTATAAATGTGTACATTGTTTATGTTGTTAATTTGCTGATTGGCTTTGTGGCTGGTGAGGCGGTTAGGTAGGTTCTTGCTTTGAAGATTTTTTTTCCTAAATTTGTTATTTGATTAGTTTCTTGACTGATAAATTGATTGGCTGCTTAGTTCATTAGTCAAAGATTAGATGATATGGTGTAAAATCTGTGGAACATTGTGAATTACACTGTGAACTTTTATTTTTTCCCCCTGTCTTCATTCGTCCGATGTGTCTGGGACAGTCGTGTCGTGCGTGTTTAGAGTCTAGTTGCGACACTTCCGTGTCTGGGACAGTCGTGTCGTGCGTGTTTAGCGTCTAGTTGCGACACTTCCGTGTCTGGGACAGTCGTGTCGTGCGTGTTTCGAGTCTAGTTGCGACACTTCCGTGTCTGGGACAGTCGTGTCGTGCGTGTTTAGAGTCTAGTTGCGACACTTCCGTGTCTGGGACAGTCGTGTCGTGCGTGTTTAGAGTCTAGTTGCGACACTTCCGTGTCTGGGACAGTCGTTTCGTGCGTGTTTAGAGTCTAGTTGCGACACTTCCGTGTCTGGGCAAAAACTTCTGCATTTGTAGCACATCTGATAACAGGCCTCAGAACCTGGTCAGTCAGGCCCTTTGGGAACCCCTCCTCTTTTGCCCTCATTGTTTAGGCTGCTGCGGCTTAGGGCTCCCCACCCACCATTTCCCCTGTTTGTACATAATTTTGTTGAAAAGTACTTAAAAAAAAAAAAATTTATATAATATTATTTCAAATTATTGTAACTACATTATTATATTTATTTGCTATTTATTTCCTGATAAAAGCGTGGGTTTTTTTTTTTGGGGGGGGGGGGGGGCGCTAGCTGTCCTAGTATTTTGATTTATTTACCGCATATGATGTTAATTTCTTCATCCGATTTCCCATCTTCGGTGAAGGTTGTTCTCAAATATTGAAATGCATGTGCCTGTTTATTACCTTTCTATTCCATTCTACTCCTAAATTTGGGTTTTGCTTTATTCTTCTGATTAGGGTTACTTATGTCTCTTCAGTGTTGATTCTCATATTATTATGTTCACATTCTTCATTCGTAGATGTGAGATGCTTTTTTTTTTCAATGTCATGGCTGCTATCAAGATCTGGTCAGCAGCAAAGAGTAATTTGTTGTTCTCACACATAATTTCGTTCCTGGGCATTGGGCCTTTGCATATAATGTCGACAGGTAGGTAGGTCGGTAAGTTGTACGCCGCCAGAACATCACACAAGCGATAAACACCCTTTGACACAAAGTGCCACCCTGCGGATGAAGATCACCCGTGAAGAGGTCCCTGAAAGCCCGTTCAGGCCATATTTGAGGCCCCGGTAAAAGCCAGGGTGGGGCTTCAAAATAACTGAAAATTTGCATCCCACATGGGGATGATGATGCTGAATTATATAATGTCGATGCACTTATGGTTATGTCCGATGTGCGATAAAGATGATCTCTAACATGAACTTTAAATGTCGATGTATGAGATAAGGACCAGCGGTCATAAGACACATCCCTGTCTTAAAACTCTTCTTATTCTAGTTTCTATAACTCTTTTATTTGCTGTCTTGTTTTACTACGTTTTCTCGTTCTTCTTGCGTGGCCTCGATGCAAGACGCCCGCATCGAGTGCTGTAGGTCCCGGGTTCAGGCCCTGGTGAAGGTTGGAATTTTTCAAGTGGACATCTAGTAATGTCCCATAGTCTCTGGTTTTTTAGACGCCCGTGTGTATTGTTGCGCACTGAACAATCCCTTGGCAGGTGGCAATCGAAAAGAGTAGCCTAACGGCTCTGTCAGGGCAAAATTTGGAGTTAATAATGTTCCTATAGTATTTTAGAATCCTCGCCGGTGCTACGGAGTTCGAGCACTGAGCTGAGATTCTTCGGACTCAAACTTGAATTAAAGTAGAACGGAGCATTTATGGGTTACTACCCTTGTGCCATAATGTTGATAAGTCGTTTAAACCTTAACCTAATCTCTCTATGTTACTGTGAATGGTTTTGACGTTCCGTGATTTATTCCAGTTACGCTTTTGCAGTAGTTAAATAAACTTGTGCACATTGCGTTAGTAGGTCAAACCATTAAAAATACAGTTCCTTTCAAGGTTACGACACGCACGTTGCACTGTTAACGTCAGATCCAGATGACTGCCTCTGAACAAAGACAGACACAAATAATGCCAGATGTCACGGGGAGTCTTGATAACGAAGGATATACAAAACAGAACAGTGCATCCAAAGTAATTTTTAGAGGGAGCAAAACTAACAAACAAAAGCGCTCTCTGGAACGGGCCCATCTGTTGGCTTCATATATAGCATTTTTCAGTGTCTCCGATATTTCTGCAGTCCATCTCTGTGTTGTGGATCTCAAGTTCTGTTATCGCTGTGTCTGCATAACACTGGTCTCTATGGGGCCCTGTCTGTTGCAAGGTTTGTTACATGGCCAAACCATTTTATCTGTTCTCTACCAATAAAATTCCTTGTGGTTCTGAGCCGACTCTTCTAATATCGTCGTTTTTATGTTGAACTTTTCCTGTAGCGCCATGCCTAATACGTGAACATTTCATGTCTCTTACTAGCGCCCCCTGCTTTCTAGCGTAGTTGGCTAAACCGGATTGCGCGGTGAGCGGGTGACGAACTCCTTGTGGTCC